GTGTGTGTGTGTGTGTGTTTGTGAAGCTATGTAAATGCATGTATACATTTATTTTTACCTTGTATGGTTAACATTCATGTCTCAAAAAACTACAAAATGTCAAAGACATAAATGCTCCTGCTCCCACGTAAATAAGTGTTACTATTTTAGGATTTTCTATTAATAGTAATTACAAACTTGACCTTGGCATCCTGAATTATGTAATGAAGTAATGATATTGAATCGGGACATGATGGTACGAAACAGAATAGGACGGATATCAGTGACACTGTATGCCCCGTACCTCTAAAGAACAATGGTGAAAGGATATGAAAGATACTGTGTTTATCAATAGGGTTAACATGAATAAATATATATACCCAATTTACAGTTACATTATAATTTACTGACTTAATTACACATTGTGTGGTTCTACAATTCGATTACTGATGTTAAAATGCCGAGACATGTGATCTATAAGTGTACACTGTGTAGCTAATGAAATATTCTTCAATATCGTTCTTTATCTATCTTGTGCATTGACATAAATTTCGCTTGTGTTCAATTTATAAAATTATCACACTAATCAAAAGGCATAAAATTAAAAATAGACAGATTTCTGCTAATGTAGAACTTAAAATTCTGATTTTTAATTATATAGTAAATGGACGTTTAAATGAATAAATAAATGAAATAAAACAATGCGAAGCTTTACTTACCAATATTTCCTTGGTTTATTATTGGCTTAAACACTTTTTGATAATGTCTTGCTGCAAAAGTTGAGTGTTTATTTTTATGTCACCCTGATTAAATACTAGTCCCTTCCTATGGAGGATTTTTCATTAGCTCCTCAGGTAGAGCATAACACTAGTAAACCAGAGGTCCCGGGTTCGACTCCTAGCAGTGGCTTTGCAAAATACTGACCTATGTTACATAACTTTCAAATTACATTCTTGGGATATTTTATGGTGTTGTTTCTGTACTAGGACATATACTCATGAGCTAAAACTTAATGACATTTTATTTCCAAAAATATAAACTTATGTACAGCATATTAGTGAGATCCTGATGACTATCATCCAATAGTTTGCCTGCTACTTCATACACTGTGTTATATGGGGATTACTGGGGAGAGAAGCATTTTCAATGATTCTTATATTTTATAAAAATGTAAAAAAAATATTTATAACCATTTGTCACAGACAATAACAGCAATGAATTTCTTACATTCAAAAACAATAATCTAGGATATTTAAAACATGTTTAGAATATAATGAATACTTTGAAACAATATCAAAGAACAGTGAATACATGTACTTATGCATGTACTTATATCAATATTTCAGTAAAAACACTTAGGAATGAAACACTCAGTGTAAACATGTACAATTCAAAAATTTGTAAATCCCAACAGGATTCATATACAATACTAGTTTTTCTTCAAATCTTTAAAAACACTATCTGTACAGACTATTACATTTAACAAGTGTAAAAAGAAGTGATGTACATGAAATTTTGAGACTTACATTAAACTTGCATCCATTTTGCATTTCATTAGCAAATAATGTCTTCAAATACAAAAGATACAGTTAATCTTGCACAGGTTTTTTTAAAATTTGCTACTAAAAGAAGGACAGATGGTCTGCAGTGATGTGTATGTATCTCTCCACACTGCTTGTAACTCCGTCAAATTATAATTTGCGTTCATATCATACTGTTTGTATATATCACGCCCTGTTCCTGTTTGCACTGTTATAGTTAACACTGTATTGCATACTGATGAGCTGTAAAGCTCAAAATAATAAAGAACTTGAACTTGAACTTTATCGGGTTACCCAGGTAAACCATATCAGAGGAAACAGAATGTTGATTTTTATGGTATGTACATGAAATATACCTGTACACTTTTGTTAATAGGTACACTTCCAAAAACACAGAAAACAAGAAAATATCTTCATACCTTTATCCAGCTAGGCAGTAACATAAACATATATAGAAAACAAGAAAATAGCTGCATAACTGATACCCTTTTCTAGGTAGACTACCACAAATATAGACAACAACATGGTATCAGTATATATTTTTCAAGTTAGACTAGCTATGCCGCAAAAATAGAAAACAGTAATATTAAACTATTATATATAAGTATACAGTTATATTAATTAAAAATAAGGAGGCACGGCAGTCTAGTGGTAGGACGCCGGGCTCGTGACCGAAGGGTTGCGGGTTCGAGTCACAGCACAGCACTGTGTTGTATCACTGAGCAAGATACTTAACTTCGCTTGTTCCAGTCTACTCAGCTGTAAATGAGTACGTGGTTGGGCAGTGCTAGAATTGAAGAATACTAGCTGTGAGTGCTGAAATGGCAGCACCGGCTGTATGCTCCCCAGGGAGTTGAGAAAGATATTGGCTGGTTGTAAAGGCCCTATAACCACAGATAATAATTTGTGAACCGTTTTGAGACGACCTACAAACTAGGTTGTGATAAAGCGGTATATAAGAACCTCAAAATATTATTATAATATATCAGTTTACATGTTTTCCAGGAAGACTACATCTTTACAAATGTTCCCTGGTATACAGTAACATAGAAAACAACAAAATATCTGACTATGTTTATTCAGATAGTACATGTACAAGAAACTATAGTCACTTACCGTACTTTATCACTTCTCTACCCTGCATCACCTGATCGCTATTCTTACACTGCCCCATTGTTATGGCTCCCCTCCCCATTCACTGCATCCCACCTACACTCTCCTACAGCTCTCATTCTCATTGTTACTCCATACCACCCTAATCACTACGATACCTATGCATCCTACCTGATTGCCAACTGCTCAATCCCCCTCCCCTCCCCCCTCCCCTACTCTACCGTACGCCCTTCCCTAACACTACCTCCCCTCCTCCCCCTCCCCTCCCCTCCCCCATCCCCCACTCTACCGTAGGCCCTTCCCCAACACTACCTTACCTCCCCCCCTCACCATCACCTTCCCCCCCCCCATCCCCCCCCCCCCTCCCCCCCTCCCCCTCCCCCATCCCCCACTCTACCGTAGGCCCTTGCCTAACACTACCTTAACTCAACTCCCCACCATCACCCTCCCCCCTCCCCTCCCCCCCCCCTCCCCTCCCCCTACCCCTACTCTACCGTAAGCCCTTCCCTAACACTCCCCTACCTCACCCCCCCACCACCCCCTCCTCCCCTCCCCTCCCCCACCCCCCCCCCATCCCCCCCCCCTCCCCTCCCCCACCCCCCCCCCCTCCCCTCCCCTATCCCCTACTCTACCGTACGCCCTTCCCTAACACTCCCCTACCTCACCCCCCCACCATCCCCCCCTCCCCCCCCCCTACTCTACCGTAGGCCCTTGCCTAACACTACCTTACCTCAACTCCCCCCCATCACCTCCTCCACTCCCCTCCCCCTACTCTTCCGTACGCCCTTCCCTAACACTACCTTACCTCAACTCCCCACCATCACCTCCTCCCCTCCCCTCCCCCTACTCTACCGTACGCCCTTCCCTAACACTACCTTACCTCAACTCCCCACCATCACCATTCCAATCTATCTTAATGGACCTCACAAATATATCCTTCCTCACTTCATTTTACTCAAATACGATCATGTTAAACGATTAAATAAAATGTCAGAAATAAACCTAACATCCACTTAAGTAACATTTGATGGAGTAACAGGTGAATATAGCAAAAGTCTCTTTTAGGAATTGTCATTCATGAGATTTTCTGGTTATAAATTAGACTTAATTTGTGTAACATCAAAAACTGACATGATATTACACAAATCAATATCTTTGAGCGGCATAAATATTATTGGCATTAAAATAACTGTAAGATTGTTTAAGGCAGAGAGTTCCACCAATTTTCTATTGTATACAGGAAAGTTGGAAAGTTTTTTCTCGTTAAATTTCTATAATTCCCTCTATATTTATACAAAGGGAGTTAAAGGTAGCTGACCTTTTAAGGGAATATGAACAATTCAAACTTTAATAATCCCTTGTTATGTTGCAAAAATATTAACATAACATGTACATTCTATGTATGATGACTGACAGCCAAGTAAATAAGGATCTAATATGCCCAGAGATCAAGTCTGTGGCAGAGATATGGTTTTGCAAGTTAGGAAATTATTTCATAATAATATAAATCTTTGCTGTAAGTAAACGGGCATGCAAATCCTCTATGTTCAAGATATAACAGAAAATTGGGACTCTCAACCTTAAAGCGTATCTACATCTTGACTAGAATGATCTACAATGATAAATAATAAACACAAAGTAACTACCTTGTACCATAAAAGGGGAAAGTTTGGTTTCATTCATATTTTGAGCAAAGTTGAGTGGTAAAAGTTTGGTGTGTAAAATGTTGTCAAGTTCTAATGAACATGTCTCATGTTTTGGCTGTCCTATTTATTGTATACATGAACTTGGCAGTACCACTGTTACGTTCCCACAGATCTGCATGTACACGTATGTATTGTCTCTACTAGTCACTAATCAGTTTCACACTATATATATATTCTAGGTACTTTTCATCTTTTCTTTTTCTTAATGAATTATCCTGTTCTCATTTCTCAATAAATCTACATAAATCTCATATCAAGATGCATATCTAACATTTATTTTGGTAATACTTGCAACAATTTCTGTTTCCTTCTTCCAGTGAAACCAGAGATTGGTATTGAAGTTGGATTTCGGGGACATTAATTTGACATTTATACAAATGCTAAGAAGGTAACTGCTTTTTTTGAAAGAAAATACTCATATTTAATGTATTTTTAGTCTGACAAAGGTCCAGAAACTGTAAATTATGAATGTTTTTATAAAAAAAATCAATAATTTTAAAGGTTTCTTCTATTGATAAATGTTTTTCGTAAAATTAAAACAGAATTGTGTTGATGAACAGCCATTAATAAAAAGTAAAAATACTTACATACATGGTGTAAAACATATAAATGGCATTCTTGCGGCATGTCAGTGTAGTTTATTTAGCATATATTGAATTATACACGACTATATAAGTGTATAGTCTAGAATTATACATGACTATATAAGTGTATAGTCTAGAATTATACATGACTATATAAATGTATAGTCTAGAATTATACACACCTATATAAGTGTATAGTCTAGAATTATACATGACTATATAAGTGTATAGACTAGAATTATACATGACTATATAAGTGTATAGTCTAGAAAGACAAGATAGTGAGGAATGGTTCCAGACATTTTACAGCAGAGAACACCAAACCTTTATTATGGCTAACATTGACTGATTTGTGAGACATTGTGAACAAAGTACTGTGATATTACTTATTTTCATGTGGGTTTTTAATTTCGTTGATATATTGGGTACTCTTTATCTAAAATCGTCTATGTAGTTAGTATTAAACATTATATCTGTAACCTTAACCACTAATTCATTTCTGAACTCTGCTGATTACAAAATTATTTAAACAACAGCAGCAACTTCATCAGAACAGTCGAGTGTGACGTATACCATCATTTGATGTGTTATGTCCGTTCACCTGCACAGGTACATCTTCTTTAGGTCTGAAATATAGAGGAGTTTGATATTTAGAATTGTTTCTATACCTATAAATGAGGAAAGAATTTTCTTCCAAGTTTCACTGGTGCATTCTCTTTTATCCAAGAGAAATGATAAACCTGCCATAATCTACATTTGTGACCTAGGAAAAATAATAAGCATTTAGAAAAGCATTGCGCTAAACTTCTAAAGCTTAATTAGCACTTGGCAAATAATTGTGCTTAACTCCTTAAGCTTAATTAGCACTTGGCAAAGTGTTGTGCTAAACTTCAAAAGCTTAATTAGCACTTGGCAAAGCATTGTGCTAAACGTCTAAATATTCAATTAGCAGTTGGCAAAGCATTGTGCTAAACTTCTTAAGCTTAATTAGCACTTGGCAAAGTGTTGTGGTAAACTTCAAAAGCTTAATTAGCACTTGGCAAAGCATTGTGCTAAAGGTCTAATTATTCAATTAGCAGTTGGCAAAGCATTGTGCTAAACTTCTTAAGCTTAATTAGCCCTTGGCAAAGTGTTGTGCTAAACTTCTTAAGCTTAATTAGCACTTGGCAAAGAGTTGTGCTAAACTTCTTAAGCTTAATTAGCACTGGCAAAGTGTTGTGCTAAACTTCTCAAGCTTAATTAGCACTTTGCAAAGAGTTGTGCTAAACTTCTTAAGCTTAATTAGCACTTGGCAAGGAGTTGTGCTAAACTTCTTAAGCTTAATTAGCACTTGACAAAGCATTGTGCTAAACTACAAAAGGCTCACTGTCAAGTTGAGATTTTTCAGTCTTTATCACGTAAGAGTGATAGATTGTATTCATCATTCTATAGGTATGGTTACAATAAGGATATACAACAGGAAAACAATAGGATGACATCATATCATCAGATGTCACATTGCTGTATGGAAATAGACAGCATTAATATTCACTAATTAAGTGACTTCTCACATCTATTTAAGTCAAGATAGGAAAGGAAATCACAAATAAATGTGTAGATGTAGGGGATACAGAAAATGTTCTCTCAGATGTAGAATTCTTTTATCTCTTGTACCTATGCATGTATATATAAGGCTACTATTTCTGAATTACTTCCTTTGCATTTTTATACAGCATTTACATTATCATACAGTGTATCTAGGGACAAAAAACGGAATTAAATTAGTTTAATTCAAGGAAAGAAACACAACTCACCATGGGAAAATATTATTAATCTACAGGATTGCATCTTGGATAAAATTTCAGTATGAAAAATACCAAACATCCTACACTTTTTCTTTTCATGTTTGTATTAAGACAAGATTTTGTATCTTTACACAACTCACCCTGTGAGAGTGAATTTCTTCTCTCCGAACACTCGCAACATGAAGCAGGACTCGTCAATGACAAATGTGGACGGAATAATGACATAGTGACCTGGCTCCAATTCAAACCTCTGGCTGACCTCGCGGTAGTTAATGTACACACCGGATTTACCGCAGTCCCGATTATAACGGAAATGTTGGATGTTTAACCTCTGACTAGGATCTTCTGTCTGTGAGTGAAGGTAATTTTGTGGTTATATTAACTTATTTGATACTTTCCAGTCCACATCATTTCTTAATCATTGGTATGTTGTGTTAAAAATAAACCACACTGATACAGAATTAAAGTCATTTATATTGACAGTGAATTTGAAATATTGAAATACAAGGCTTGTAACAATTAGTAAAAATGGATTTTTTCAAAAATTACCTTGTAAAGGAAGAAACCAATTTGGAGACTTTTGACCTTGACATTGCGCTTTGACCTTCGGTGTTCCTGCATTAAGGATATAACAATAGTGCACAGTCCCTCCCTCTCAGGGTCATCCTTCATCTCGTCAAAGTCATCTGTAACAAAGGTCATAGGTCAGATGTCAATAAACTGGGGTCCAGCTTTTCTGCTTCAATACAGGTACGAATTCATAATGGCTGTGACTGCTTATATATACTGTGTAACACTCTTGAAAATATTACACAGTTTGATTTTCATTTTTTTTTATTTGGGAAGTTGTGTTAGATTTTCTGCTTTCTTTTCTGAACTGGCCTTTCTTGGTTGGCCTAAATGGATTTAAAGTATCATTGGAAGGCAAGACTATAAACAAACACATGTATACCATAGTGGTGGGAAAATATCAACCCTTCAAATTACAAAGGGACATACATAGAATCCTTTAGATACATTCCTGTATGAAAATATGTAAAAATATAGATATGTTGCAAGAATAATATGTTTACACTATTAAACAGTTAAGTTGAAGTATGTCTGGGATGTGGGGAAAGAAGAACCTATACTGCACCCTACTTCATTAGCTAAGGCAGATAAACATGTTATGTATCATTTAATACTTATTACCCACATTTCCAAAAATATTGGAAAAAGTAACTCTATAGGAATTGCCTATCAATCAATCCATCTTAAACAATTTTAACACGAGAAAGAGAAATTCAACAGTCACAGAGGGATTCAAACCCAGGAACCTCTGTGCGTGACCTTACCTGGTTCTGACAAGGTGAGTAAATACTTGGACTTGTGACCTTACCTGGTTCTGACAAGGTGAGTATATAATTGGACTTGTGACCTTACCTGGCTCTGACAAGGTGAGGATATACTTGGACTTGTGACTTTACCTGGCTCTGACAAGGTGAGGATATACTTGGACTTGTGACTTAACCTGGCTTTGACAAGGTGAGTATATACTTGGACTTGTGACTTTACCTGGCTCTGACAAGGTAAGTATCTACTTGGACTTGTGACTTTACCTGGCTCTGACAAGGTAAGTATATACTTGGACCATACCTGGCTCTGACAAGGTGAGGATATACTTGGACTAGTGACTTTACCTGGCTCTGACAAGGTGAGGATATACTTGGACTTGTGACTTTACCTGGCATTGACAAGGTGAGGATATATTTGGACTTGTGACCATACCTGGCTCTGACAAGGTGAGGATATACTTGGACTTGTGACTTTACCTGGCTCTGATAAGGTGAGTACATACTTGGACTAGTGACTTTACCTGGCTCTGACAAGGTAAGGATATACTTGGACTAGTGACTTTACCTGGCTCTGATAAGGCGAGTACATACTTGGACTAGTGACTTTACCTGGCTCTGACAATGTTAGTATATACTTAGACAAGTGACTTTACCTGGCTCTGACAAGGGGAGGATATACTTGGACTTGCGACTTTACCTGGCATTGACAAGGTGAGGATATATTTGGACTTGTGACCATACCTGGCTCTGACAAGGAGAGGGCATACTTGGACTTGTGACTTTACCTGGCTCTGACAAGGTGAGGGTATACTTGGACTTGTGACTTTACCTGGCTCTGACAAGGTGAGTATATACTTGGACTAGTGACTTTACCTGGCTCTGACAAGGTTAGTATATACTTAGACAAGTGACTTTACCTGGCTCTGACAAGGTGAGGATATACTTGGACTAGTGACTTTACCTGGCTCTGACAAGGTGAGTATATACTTGGACTTGTGACTTTACCTGGCTCTGACAAGGTAAGGATATACTTGAACTAGTGACTTTACCTGGCTCTGTCAAGGTGAGGGTATACTTGGACTTGTGACTTTACCCGGCTCTGACAAGGTAAGGATATACTTGGATTAGTGACTTTACCTGGCTCTGTCAAGGTGAGGGTATACTTGGACCAGTGACTTTACCTGGCTCTGACAATGTGAGGATATACTTGAACTTGTGACTTTGCCTGGCTCTGACAAGGTGAGGCTATACTTGGACTTGTGACTTTACCCGGCTCTGACAAGGTAAGGATATACTTGGACTAGCGACTTTACCTGGCTCTGACAAGTTGAGGATATACTGGGGGTTTATGGAGAACATGGCAAGGTCGTTCCTAGATCCTCCAGCAGTCCTACCCAGAAACCATTCCCCCTTCAGCATCTCTACATGGCCTGAAAAAACATGTATTTAATATCATACATGTATAGTAAAGATCCTTTACAGACTTAATACTAACAGCTCCAACAGTATTATTTAACAAGACATTAAAACAATCCATGCATTGGATAAGTTACACCTATCCAGCATTGCTTTGCAATCATTATTAATATTTGTACTCTGTCGTAGCTGTGAAATACAATTTATACTCAATTCCCTCTATACATATCTTGGTAGGTTCTGTGCGTGACCTTACCTGGTTCTGACAAGGTGAGTATATACTGGGTTTTTATGTAGAACATGGCAAGGTCGTTCCTAGATCCTCCAGCAGTCCTACCCAGAAACCATTCCCCCTTCAGCATCTCTACATGGCCTGAAAAAACATGTATTTAATATCATACATGTATAGTAAAGATCCTTTACAGACTTAATACTAACAGCTCCAACAGTATTATTTAACAAGACATTAAAACAATCCATGCATTGGATAAGTTACACATATCCAGCATTGCTTTGCAATCATTATTAATATTTGTACTCTGTCGTAGCTGTGAAATACAATTTATACTCAATTCCCTCTATACATATCTTGGTAGGTTCTGTGCGTGACCTTACCTGGTTCTGACAAGGAGAGCATATAATTGGACTTGTGACCTTACCTGGCTCTGACAAGGTGCGGATATACTTGGACTTGTGACTTTACCCGGCTCTGACAAGGTAAGGATATACTTGGATTAGTGACTTTACCTGGCTCTGTCAAGGTGAGGGTATACTTGGACCAGTGACTTTACCTGGCTCTGACAAGGCAAGGATATACTTGGACTAGTGACTTTACCTGGCTCTGACAAGGTGAGGATATACTGGGGGTTTATGGAGAACATGGCAAGGTCGTTCCTAGATCCTCCAGCAGTCCTACCCAGAAACCATTCCCCCTTCAGCATCTCTACATGGCCTGAAAAAACATGTATTTAATATCATACATGTATAGTAAAGATCCTTTACAGACTTAATACTAACAGCTCCAACAGTATTATTTAACAAGACATTAAAACAATCCATGCATTGGATAAGTTACACATATCCAGCATTGCTTTGCAATCATGATTAATATTTGTACTCTGTCGTAGCTGTGAAATACAATTTATACTCAATTCCCTCTATACATATCTTGGTAGGTGCTGTCTGAAATATATGTATTACAAATAACATGTAATGTATCAAAGCAAATACCAAAGTTTTTACATTATGATTAGAAAAGTTTAAATAAGATTTTAAATGTCGACATTTGAAACCACTCACAGTTATCGGCAGTTCCATCGCCATCAAAGTCTGGCCCCATCAGACATATGGTAACCTCCTGGAAGTGTTTACAGAAATCTCGGTAGGACATCCAGAACTCTCCATCATCCTTGAGCTGTAGGCCTATCTCCTTCTTTGTCTCATCGTCCACCCAATGCCAGTTAACATCGCTGAAACAGCAAGCTTTATTACAATACTGGCAGTGAGATAGTGAACTCTATAGAGTTGATAAAACTGATACCAGGTATATTTTGCAATTCGACCGATATCAAAAATTATATATGTCACAGTGTGAAGATATGACTTTGGTAATGACCAACCAAAACCATTCTTTCTATTCACTGCATCCAAAAGCATCCAAAAACAAAGCTTTTCTGGTCATCTGCACAGGAATTGACAGAGACTAAGGGGATGGTTGTACATACACCAAGATGTTTATCTGGTAACGTGACTGACAGCATTAAGTAAGCAAATCTTTCCCAATATTGGCAGAAAACTGTGGGGTTACTTTGAGTGCCCATTCAAAATGGTGAACAGCCTGGTTGTCTAGTGTGACATCATCAGAATATGGTTCTAAAGATTACATCTACATATTAGCTTCTAAATAGTTCTGATGTTGAAATGTTTCTATTGTTGCAGGTAGTTTAAAAATGTAATACAATTTATATTGGTTTATACTGGTTTTCCCACTGAATACTATATACATATATAAAACATTTTCTATTTATTTCACTGTTACTATTACATGATACAAGATCTTACCCCAGTATAATAAAGCAAATTATATTTCATTTTATCTTATAAATACATGCGTTTATACATTTGTATATATTCTCGTTCATTTGCGGGATAGATAGTAAGAGTAAATTCACATGTTTCATCTGGCACATTTAACAAGAGGCCCAGAGGGCCTGTATCGCTCACCTGAACATGTTTAAAATAATTAGTATGAAGTAAAGATATAGCACTCCGTGGTCGGTGCTGTAAGTACATATGAAATTTCAGAAAGAGCCATCCAGTACTTGAGATATAATAAATTTCAAACAAAGCCCCACCCCTATGCCCCTAGGGGGGGTCATACCCACCGTTTATACAAAATTGAGTCCCCTTGGCCAAAGGATGCTCCAGACTAAATAAGGATAAAATCCCTTAATCATGATGGTCGAAGAAGGTTTTAAAGGTTTTACCTCTATTTCCTCTATTGGACCCCGCCCTTCTGCCCCCTGGTAGCCCATACCCACTGCTTATACAAAATTGAGTCCCCTTGGCCAAAGGATGCTCCAGACTAAATTAGGATAAAATCTTTTAATCCCTATGGAAGAAGAAGGATTTTAAAGGTTTTACTTCTATTTCCCCCATAGGGCACAGCCCCTCAGGTCCCAGGGGGGGG